GCTCCTAGGGACAAAGAAGGCTTTCTACCCATAAAGAATCACAGCCTCCGAAACTCACTGGGGAAGTTCTACTCTGTTCTATAGGCTCCCTGTGAGCCAGAATCCACTGGATGGCAGTGACATGTTTTGTGTTTGGAGAGTTTGCTGTGGTAAGATAGGGAAAATAGCCTGTTGGGGAGGGAAAAAACCAACAACCAACAACCAAACTCACTGCTCTGGAGTCGCTGTCCACGCATAGCAACGCCCTTGTGGGTTTCTGAGACTGTAACTAGTTAGAGTAGAAAACCCTTTCTCCCGCTGTGGGGCTGGTGATTTCCAACCACCAACCAACCTCGCAGATCAGGAGAAGGGGATCAGAGAACTAGTGCTCCGCAGTTTAGTAACGGATTCCTGATTAACTAGCTTTTAATAACATTATCTCCACTAGATCTCAGGCTTCCCAAAATCAGAGACTGTTTTGAACTCCAAGGGCAGTGCACGTTGAATGTTCTGTAACACTCCCAGCTCAATTGCTGGCACACACGGTTACTTAATCAGTAAATGACATGTCTGAGTCCCCACGGGATATCTCAAACTACCGTCTCAAACTTCCACGGAGTCGATTCGGACTCACGGCGACCTCTGTCTCACTCAGTAATTGAAAGGCCACCTTAAAAAAAACTCCAACGTTTTTAGAAAGTATGCTTTTAAAATAAATTATCTTCGAAGACACTTATTTAGGACACTTACAGATGTAACCCTGACCTTAAGTCTTTTAGTTTCTATGCTGTTAAACATCAACATTCCATAAAACTGTAACCGAAATCAACAGGAACCCTCATGCAATCCCAACGTTTCTGATGTTTGAAATCTCTTCTAAGAGGAAAGATGATCAGGTTGACAATTTCTCTTAATCCGGAAAAACTCACCTGCCTCCCCCCTCCCCTCCCCCCTAACCGCTTTGCCTCTGCGCCTCCCGCTCCTTCCCCAACACGGACTCGGACCATTTTATTGGAGCAGAAGTTGAAAGAAAGCCACACGCCATTGACACCCACCCCGCACTCCCGGGGGTGGGAAAGCAAAGTTCCAGGGCTGAGCCCTGCTGCCACCAGCCGGGAGACGCAGTCGCTCTG